ATTTGTCTGTTTTTGTTTGGTTTAGTCCCCTCCCCTTCTGAGCCCCTCCCTCTTTCCTTTCTTGCCCCCCCCTTCCTTTCCAGGTCTCATGCTTCCCTCAAACTCAGTATGTAGCTGTAGATGACCTTGAACTGAGCCTCCTGATTTTGCCTTCTAAGTGCTGGTGTTGTGACCACATCTGGCTATTATTTCAAAGGCTTTTATGGTTTGTTGTCCTCCTTGTTGGCTTCATATTCTTTTTCTATAAGCACAAAACCTCCTAAAAATTCCCGTAAGCCTATCCTCCTTTGTTCTCGCTGTTTTTCTATATTATTTAACATCATTGTTTAAACATTAACTGACTGTATAGATGTGTCTGTCTCTCTTGCCCCAACCTCCAGGTTTACCACACACACCACCACCTTTTCTTTTTTCCTAGAGTCTCAGAGAGAAAGTTTTTTTCCCCCTTCCCAAATGCTTTTGCAAGCTCCCCCTTTCCTACAGCACCCACTAGGCTCTGCTCCATTTGTTTCTTTGTTTTCTTTACTAAAAGGGCATCTCTACATTTCATTAGCTTCCCCCACCTGATCCATGGATGGGCTCCAGCTGTCCTCAGGGACACCCTTTCAGGTTCCCCTTGCCAGTTTCTTGCAAGCCTCTTTATCCTCAGAGGAGCACTTTCATCAACACACTGGAACCAGAACACTTGGCCAGCTGCTCAGTGTGGTGTGATAATCATTCTTTTTTAGTCATCCACTGTGTTTTTAACTGTCAAAAAGAGAAGAATAATTATTTGATAAAACCTAGATTTGATGTACAACGGATATTTTCTCACTAAAAGGTGGAAGTAGCATGCAAATTTCTGCCCACAGGTTATAGGCTCTCTGAGCTCTACTCTGAGCCACACTCACTCAGTCACTCTCTGTTCACAGCACTGTCTTTAACTCCTTAAATCACCAACTAATCTGATTTTAATTAGTGGCTTCCCTATCCATCTGCAACCTTTTACATCAACATAACCACACCCCATTTCCTCATTCCCCAGTCCTTTCAAACGCACCAAGGCACTTACTTGGCTTCTTTTATTTTAGACAAAAAAAAAAAAAAAAAAAAAGTTTGTGAAACTATGCAGTTTCTACTTACATGAAACCAGAGTCTCACAAAATGATTACCTTCATGGTCTAGGTTAATAATTGCACTTTTGTTTTTTAAAGACCAAACAGCAAATTCTAGAGTAGCATCAAGTAGAGTTGTCTTGCTTGAATACCTCCCAACTGGGAGGTATGAAATTGGAAGAGAAGCAGGAAAGGCACATGGGAAGACCAGAAGTCCCATGTTGAACTGCATTTCAGCATCAAGTGAAAGGGCTGGTAAATATACGACCAAATCTCATAGACAGAAGCGAAGGCTTCTTTCTGTGGGCCACCCCGACAGCTCACCAGTGTAGAAGACAACCAGATGCTTCTGATGAAAGGAATCAGTGGCTTGTGGACAGTCTCTGTGAGTTCCAATAAAAGGGGTCAAGCTTCGGGGATTCAAAGCGAAGCTATTTCTGACCTAGAGGTAAATCCATCTAACCTTGGACTAAAACATTTTCACTGCAGAGGCTGAGCAGGCTGATAAACTAATTCTGTTCCATGGGATGCCAGTGCTATTCTTCAATAGGTGATAGCCTTAGAAGTGTAAATGGCTTCAAAGCAAAACAATGCACCTTTGTTTCAATACGTTATTAATCTCAAAGAAGTCCTTTGTTATGAGTAGACTTAACCTTCACAAAGGATAGCTATCACTGAGATTGTATTGTATGCTTGATTACCATACATTAGAGTCAGAAAATGGTTTCCCTTCAAGGGACTCTTTGAGAAGAACAGATTCAATTTGTATTTAAAGGAATGTAAAAGAGTTTCGTTAAAAATTGATACTCTCAATGCTGAATAACTGTAATATTCCTTGTCGAAAAACAAACCCAGAGGCTTTTCAAGCGTTGGCTAAAATCGGAGCTTAGCAAGCTTCACAGTACAATTTTATTATTTCTCCATTTAGTGCTGATGTTTAGTAAACTGCAAATTCATTTAAGGGTATTGTAAAGTCAAAGTATTGATTTTGAATCATGGTGCATTTTCTCTACCAAAGAGAATATTAATAGCATACTACCCTGTTTGTGGCGTCGAGCTGAAAAAAACTTTTTTTTTTTTGAGGTGCTGAAAGGAATCTTTGTATGTATGTTCATGTGTATGTGTATGCATGTATGTATGCGTGTGTGTGTGTGTGTGTGTGTGTGTGTGTATGTATGTGTGTGGCCTCAAACTCTCTATTATAAGAGAATAATCTTGAATCCTTGATCCCCCCCCCAAGTTCCCATCCCCTGTGCACTTTAGGCCTGGACCACTACTTACAGCCCTCTAAAAGAGGTCTTGTACTTAAATGTTCAAGGTCTACTGATCTATTCGAATTTAATGTATCAACTTGATGTAGACTGGTTTGCACAAGTTTCTTAGGACAAGCCTTTGTTTATACTGTACTGTTTGTACCAGTTAAAGACTGCTTTTTTAAAAAAACATTTTTTGTTTGTTTGTTTTTTGGGTAGAGAATGGAAGCTTACATCTTTAATCCTAGCATTTGAGAAGCAGAGGAGGGAGGACCTACCTGAGACCAGCCTATGTACCAGGCCTTTTCTTTTAGGCCACCAACCAGGAATGAAGTTATGAATGCTTGGTCTAGCTTAGGCTCATTTCTTGCTAGTGCTCTTCCTCTACATTTTGCCTTGGGGCTTTTTACCTTTCCTTCTGTATGTCCTGCTCTGTCTCTGCAGGCTGGCAGCTGGCTGGCTGACCTAAGAGGTCTCCCTTTATTTCTCTCTCCTCTCTCAAGCCTAGGATTTCTCCTCATACTTATTCTCTTTGCCTGCCAGCCCTGCCTAATTCTTTCTTTGCCTAGCTTTTGGCCAGGCAGCTTTTCTTTTCATTAGACCAATCAGGTGCCTTAGGCAGGCAAGATGAAACAGCAACACATCTTTTCATAATTAAACAAATGCAGCAGAAACAAATGTAACACACTTTTACACAGTTAAAGTGATACACCACAGCATAAACAAATGTAACAGATCTTTACATTAAATATTCCACAACAAGTCAGCATAGCAAGTTCCAGCACAGCCAGACTACATAGAACAGTAGTTCTTAACCTGTGGGTCTCAATACCTTTGACCTTTCACAGGGTTTGCATATCTGATATCTTACACACCAGATATTTATATTATAATGTATAACTGTAGTAAAATTACAGTTATGAAGTAGCAATGAAAAAAATTTCATGAGAAACTGTATTAAAGGGTAGCAACATGAGAAAGGTTGAGAACCACTCACATAAAGAGACCTTGTCTCAACAAACAGAAAAACAAAACAATTTCAATTCACAGAGATTTGTCTGTTTTTACCCCATGCCTAGCTGAACATTTTTTAAAGTGTGTGCGTGTGTGTTGTATGCCACAGCTCTTGTGTAGAAGATAGAAGAATTCCCCCTCTACCATTTGAGTACCCTGGAACTCAGGCTGTCAACATGCCATGCATGGGCTTGGCAGCAGACACTTTTATATCCTGCATCATCTTGTCAGCCCTCAAATGCTTTTAAATGGTAAGTCTCCCTCTTAAACTCCATGTGAGGATTATGGATTATAAATAAGAGAAATGTCTAATTGTAGGACAACATTGTAATCTTTAAACAAAACCTGGAAAAGAAAACTTTCAGCTCTAAGATGAAACTTCATGCCTAGTGAAAAATCACTAGGTTATGCAGCTTCTTGTCCTTTTATTAGTGTCTCTAAGACAATCCAGCTATTTGGATAATGAACATGTCCAGGTCCTGGCATAGTAAGGGTGTGAGGATGGTCTTCCATTGGTCTCCAGTGCAAAAAATCCCCATAGCACGGCTATTTTGAGCCTTTAAGAGATAAACTGTCTTTCTAAGGATGAAAAAATGAATTTCTCTCCATGGATACCAATGCTCTCCCAATTTAGGATGTAGACTTTCAGGTCTGGGAAGACACCACTTAATTTCTTTGTTCTTTATTTTAAAGAGGAGAACCTAGGAATAGGGGTGTAGGTCAGTGGCAGATCGCTTCTGTAACAATGCAAGACTCTGGGTTTCATACCTAGAGCTTTCATACATACATGCATGCATGCATACATACATACATACATACATACATACACACACACACAGCCCAACAAACTCAAGACAAAGGAAAAAAGAAAAAGAAAAAAAGAAAAGAAAACCTAACCCCCTAAAGTGAATAAAAGACAGTTGTAAGAGGCACCAAAATTATCCTAAGTCATAGTAAAATTCAAATAGAAATTCAAGTCTTTTCTTAAAAGTGATACATCAAAAATTAAATACAGCAATGAGTCAAATTGAATTATGTATGTTTAGAATCTAGCCAGTGGTATTCACTCAGCTGGGGAATCCAAGGGGGAAGTCATAAATAAATACAAGGTCAAAAGCTGGCTACAACCAGAACACAACCACATTTTATGTTTGTCAGCCCTGCATATCCAGAGGAAGATTTTTCACCCTGCCTGTAAGTAGAGCATAACAAATCCACGTTATACATTTAATCAGTGTATGTGTGTGTGTGTGTGTGTGTGTGTGTGTGTGTGTGTGTATGTGTGTGTGTGTGTGTGTGTGTGCGCGCGCGCTTCCAGCTATTCCTATCTGCATTACAATCTCATTGTTTCACCAAGTATTTATGCATCCGCATCTATGTAATAGACACTCTGTTAGGGAGGGTTGAAGACTACAATTAAGGAGGGGGAGATCTACTGTTGATGGGAGGATGGGACACTGTATTCAACTGATGATGAATTCCCTAAAACATCCCAAGTACGAGGACTTCTCATTGGTCAGCTAGGTAACCTTGGGGGTAATCAGTGAGGCCCTGGGCCTGACCTATGAGGATATCCTGCACACAGGGTCACAGCACCTAAAAGAACGGAAGCGCAGGCACAGAATATCTCCTAGCTCTCGGCCCCAGGGTGCCTCTTCGCAATGGCCTCAGCCCCGCCTGGCGTCGCACGTCAGCACTGCGGGCCACACCCCTGCGCACGGGTTGGGTCCCAGCGACATGATGAAACTTCCCGCACGCGTTACAGTAGCTAGGCTGCTTGCTATAAGGTAAGAAGCAGCCTCTACCCCGTCTTGTCACTGTGCTGCCTCCGCTGCCCCTCTGGCCCTAGCCACTAGAGCGCAGGTAAGCGGGACCTGATGCTCGGCGCGGTGCGCTCTGCACGCCCGGGAAGCCGGAGGATGCTCGGTTCGCGCGGACACACAGGTCCAGGGCACGCGGGTACCAAACACACCGGCCGGCGGGACAGATGCGGTGCAGTGGGTGCCAGGGCGGGGCGGGCGCGGGGCGATTGTTGCGCACCTGGGACGGAGATTGCCAGGAAAGCTGTCCCAAGAGCGAAGTGCTTCGTGGAGGTTGGGCCGCTCCAGACCGGAGACAACGGTGGCCTTAGTCAGGACACCATAAATGTTATTATTTTTTTAATGTCTGACGTCTGAGCCTGGGAAAGTTCCGCGATCCCAGGGCCTTGCCTGGGACCAGCTGGAAGCCTGAACAAGACCAGCCGCAGTTGGGCGCCCCAGGCTAGTCTCCGGCCTGGTTGTTGCGCGGAACTGAGGCTCTCCCTAGCTTTAGAGCGAGGCTCTCTGGGGGGTGAACTGTCTGGATCCTGCTTACCGAGTCCCCACTCATCTTGCTGCCAGGCCCCCTCCCCCACTTCAGCTCCATACTTGCAAGACCGGCAGCCCCACCGAGGAGCGATCTGTTTAAGGTGACAGGCGGCCAAGTACAGAAAAAGGCAAAGGCATGCTTTTCCTTAATAATGGGTAGCTGTTCACAGGCCTAGTTTCAGAATTAACAACTTTTAAATACAAAGACAGGCTTTATTTTTCTTGGCCCGTGGCCTACAGCTGTTTAACAGTTAACTTTTCGTTGATTGTGCATAATATTGATGCAATATTAATTAGAAGTAAGAGTTGCACAAGTCCACAGGTTAATTATTGAGATTTTAAAATGAGATCCGGTGAAGTTTAGGTAGATCACCAGTAGAACAGAATTTCTGTTCAATGCATCGAAGTGGCGCTGTCCAGCTGGGGAGCCACAAGATCCATGCACTTGCATGCACTGACCTCTAGAAACACTGGCTAGTCTGAACTGACATGCATTACTAAGTGTAATTTTGATGATTTTGAAAACCGAACTTCTATCACTTTGGTTGTGACCCTTAGAATTTAATGTCTGAACTATTTCTCTAGCCTGGTTTTATTGATTTAGGTGTAAAATATAATCAATTTTGATTATATTGTATTGATTATTTTGTTTGGAGTGTGCATGTTAAGGTAAATTTAAAATTTATTTCAGGACTTTTGCCTTTTTAATGGAGTTTGTTAGTATATTAAAATCAAACATCTGATTCACATTCCCTCTGGGCAACATCATTATAGAATTTAACCATGAATGTGGGAAGCCACAGGGGCAGATAACAATGAGGAAAATGAGATACAAGGCGGGCCTTTCCCTGCATAGAGGCCTGATTCCAATTACAAAAAACGTTTGAATTTCCTTATTCCTGATAAAGGAAGATATTTTAAACTTTTCTTTCCACTTATAAGCGGCTGGCATATGTTTTGTATAACAGACAATTCATTAAAGAGGCGTAAGACCTAAGTAAACGATTTCCTGGTGATCACACTGATTTTCAAAGTGCATTGCAAATCCACTTTCTTTCTCCCCTTTTACTAAACACAGATTCTTTCCTCAAAGAATATAACTGGAATGCACTTTCATCTCCTTCTACCCCTTCTAGTTTCTCCACACCTGCTTTCCCATCAGGATCCACTCCCTTCCTATCTCTCATTAGAAAAGAACTGGTCAAAGAGATAACAGAACATAATAAAATAAAATATAGTAAGATAACATGAAAACCATCATATAGAAGTTGGACAGCATAAGCCAACAGAAAGTTAAAGCAGCCTCAAGAAAAGGCACAAGAGTCGAGATCCACTCATTTACACACTCCAGAGTCCCATAGAAGTCCTAAACTGAAAGCTATGGTATATATGCAGAGGGCCTGGTGCAGACCTGTGTGGACCCTGTGCTTGCTGTTTCTGTCTCTGTGAGTTTATATGAGCTTTGCTCAGTTGTTTTAGAGGGGCCTTGTTCTCCTGGTGTGTGGCTGAGCCGCTTTTCATTGGCATCGAGTCAAACATCGCTTATTAACAGCCACCCCTCCTAACTCTCTGCATTTTCCTACTGAATGTACAAACCCATCGTATTGTCGTTTGGACAGCATTGTGGAAGGAACTGCATGCCACTTGCATTTTGTCTTCGAGTTGCTTGGCTTGATACCATTTTTTATCATTGGATCTGATTTTGCTCAAAGTGCATCAAGCCTTCGAAACAGATGAGATATTTGGAAGGTTGTTCAGAGTGGCTGATGTGAGCGTGTGTTTTTAGAGGGTTTGTTCCTGTTATGCTGCCATTTCTTGCAGATGTTCTTTTTTAAGCAGATACAGTACTATTTGCTAGTTGGAGATTCTTTCTTAAACTATTTTGAGCTGGCAATATTCAAATGACATTTATATGAATTACTTCCTTCCTGGCCTACAGGGATCTAAGTTGCCCCTTCCCCAATGTTGCTTTATCTCTGTGTATCTCAACTATTTCACTCGCTAACCAATGCAGCTTTAAGGTAAATATTTGCGATTTTTTTTTTAATGAGGACATTTTGATACTGAACTTTTCTGTTTGTTGAGAAGAGATCTCATGTAGCATAGGCCTTGAACTCCTGATCCACACAGCTTCAACCCCCATCCACATGCTAGGATGATGTACCACAATACCTAGCCATAGCAAATATTTTATATCCTCAGTCAGCTCAAAATGCTTTTCTTTCCTTCATCACACTTAAATAAGTCATTTAGATGTTAAGCTAGAAGTCGTGTCATGATAATGAGATGTATTCTTACTACATAACAGTGTTTATAAGCTGCTATTTATTCCCTCTATTTTTGAACTTCACAAAGTGCAGATAAAGCAAGATCATTTAATCGTAGAGGCTCAGGAAGAGGCTGTACTAACACAGAGAGTCTCCCACAGCTTAGATTTTTTTTTTTTTTTAAGATTCTCATCTGGAGAATAATGAGGTTGGGATCCCTCTCTAGCTTGGAGCCAGCCAAGCCAGCCATTGACCTTGGGAGCAATCCTGGGCTGCAGAGACAATGTGATCAGGATGTTGTTGGGTCTAACTCCCACCAAATCCTAAGGTGGGAGACGTGGGCTTTGGCTGGATGCTAAGCTTATGTGTCTGGTTGAATATAAAAGTCATCTGTATTTTTTAATATTTGTAAGCAAATTAAGTCATTCTCGTGTGCCTGCCAACCCAATGGAAAACTACTATAAATAGAGATGGTTTGTGTGCAACTTTTGGAGAGACTTGTGTGAGTTTCTGGAATTTCGCTGGGTACTGAATTCGAGCCTACTGTGCTTTCCTCCACAGAGTGCCTGCAGCATGTGTGGCATTTGGGCCCTCTTCGGCAGCGACGACTGCCTTTCCGTGCAGTGCCTGAGTGCAATGAAGATTGCACACAGGGGGCCAGACGCATTTCGTTTTGAGAATGTCAATGGATATACCAACTGCTGCTTTGGATTTCACCGGTTGGCTGTGGTTGACCCCCTATTTGGAATGCAGCCAATAAGAGTGAAGAAATATCCTTATCTGTGGCTCTGTTACAATGGTGAAATCTACAACCACAAGGCGGTAAGCAGAATGAAGCTGGAGGTGGCCATCTATAATTAAACCTCAGATGTAGTGGTTATGGTGTGTATATATTGTGTCACGCTTTGTTAACCTTTTTGTGTGTTCTTACCTCATTTCCTCTGGTCATGTAGTTATATAGAAAGGTAAAATGACGTAGAAATATATATAGTTATATAGAAAGTTATATAGAAAGGTAAAATGATTAAAAGGGGATGCCAGTTCATTTCTTTTCTATTAGAGATTTTAATGTTTATTAGGGCTGTGTTATGTTCTGTTAGGTGACAGAGGTGAAAAAGATGGTTAGGGCTATACTGCAATGGACTTTGTTGTGCCAGAGACAGACAGTTACTGTATAATGGACTTTCTGAAAGAGCAAATTTAAAAGGGATACACATGGGAGAGCTATGTGCAGGAAACTTGACTTGGGACAGTCGCCCGAAAAAGCAAGACTTAAACTGAGACCTAATGGCAGAGAACACTGGGCAGTATTTCTCATGGAGAGGGGTAGCGTGTGTACAGCCCTGGAGTGGGTCGGGGAAAAGTGGGGCTGGGAAGACACAATAGTTGGTTTTGCACTGCTTGAATCTGGTATACCATTCCAAGGGCACCAGCAATTGAGAACTTAAAGGAGGGATAGAGTTGAAAACCTGGGAGGCGATGATCTTTGTAGCATTGTATAATACGGCCACTGAGAAATTTATTGCAGTCCCACACATAGTAGGAGCCAAATGGTAGAAAGGTGGCTGGAAGCAGTAGTATGTTAAGTAACTCGGCAGTGTTAAAGTTAGAACAACTTTCTACTCTGGTCTTAGAACAGGAGTGGGTGAGGGGATAGAAATGTTGATCCTGGAAGCCAGACATGATCTGAACCTCCCAATCCAGGATTATTTGAATAGTTTTTCATAAGGGAAAAATTAAATCAGTAATTCACGTGATTGCACAAATATAACTCCTTGCTATATTTCCAAGCTCATTAGCCCCTTCCTCAACCTTTAATTGCTCCAAAACAATGTGCATGGAAATTGATAATTGTTAATGTCTGCCTGTATTTATTTTATCTCTCTTAAGGTCTGCACATTCTTTTTATGCTGAATTATTCTAGTATTTCTCTACACTATGTAACTATTTGCCTGTCAAGAATTAAGACATTCTCTTAGCTAATACTAAACATAGACTCTATAATATCTATTATCTAATTCATGTTTAAGTTTCCACAAGTGTTCCCTAGAATATATTTAACAATGTTTATTTTTGTTTTGCTTTCCCTTTTTTTTTTGATGTGTATTTATGTGTATGTGCTAACTGGTGCAAATTTTGTGTGTGTGTGTGTGTGTGTGCAGATTTCCATCAAAGTTTAGTCATTTGGTTATAATGCTTCTTGGTAAAGTTTGAAATTATTTCTGTGCCTATTCTTCACTGGTATGCTTTCTATCCTAGCTAATCTTGTTCCTGAACTAAAGTTTTTATTTGCCAGGTTGCTTGCTTGTAGGAACACTTTGAAAGTAGGGTTTGACCAGTTAGCACATACGCTTTTATTAAAGGCTTACTGTATACAAAGCTAAATATTTGGAGATTAAATGGTAAACAGGGAAGTTAGGAGTGGAGGAAGGGAGTGAATTAGGAGGGATCCCGGTAGCAGTAGGTCAGGCTACTAAGTGGTACTCTGACAGTATTGCCCTGCGTCTCCCTGAAGTGAGGTGGGAAATATCTTGGTTTGTCTGAGTTTAGGACATACCTTGGTTTATTTTGACAGCATTGCTGTTTATTAATTTTGTTAAGATGTTAATATCTTTAAAAGTATATGTTATATTTGCAAAAACTTTCTTCTGTTTCTATCAAACATCCTAACATATGCTAATGAGACAGCTAGAAACTTGTTCAAGAGTAGAATGAACAAGTTTAATCTTACCTATTTTCAGAATTATAGCTTCAAAGTTCTGTCTCCATCCCCTGCTTTGATGATAACACAAAACAGCATTTGCTGGTCTAGGAGACAACAAAGATAGACCAGGGGCCTACAACAAGTCACATGCCAATGTGAGTCTAGGATGGTGGCAGGATATGGGTGCAGTATGTGCAGTATAGGAGCATCATTCCAGGAGTTAGAGTTAGTACTTGGGAATTGTTAATCAATGGGCACCTCTTTTGGGAAAAAAGAGAGGAAGTGGTGCTAATTATTTGCAAATGCTATAGGGTGTTTTTAGCCAGGGGGTAGGATTTCAAACTCCACCTCATTGAGTTAGGATTACCCTGGTAGTTCCTTAGTTGAGATGAGTGGCCAGATGGCAGTGTTGTAGAGAGGCACCACAAACCCATGTTTTGGCAGTTCTGTGCATGCTGTACACAAAGGACCACATCTTTGAGATGGAGATACCTGAGGCATATTTACAGGGCACACATATAGACTGAAAACACATTACAAGTCTGAAGTGGGGATACGATGGCTTTATTGTCGTGTTGGTGGTGTGCTTGTATAGTAGAAAGTCTTAGAATCTGGGTACAACTCAAACCTTTTCCCTTTGCCAGAGGTGACAGTAAAAGGCTCATTGCTCTTCCACTGGGGCATATGAACTGATGATAAAGCCCACGGTCATTTTGTCTGTCCCTGAGAAGGAGCTTTAATGTCACCACTGCCAAGGAAGATCTGACTGTTTTCCACCCCTAGGGACCAACAGCTTGGGTTTGGACTGTGTCGTTGTAATGGGATCATTTATTTGGCAGCAAGGAGGGGCAATTAGTTTTGTTCTTTCCCTTTATATTTTCAAGGGAGGTCTTTGACAATGAGCTAGAAGAACCTCAGCTGATTTTGAGTCCTAAACCAAAAGTTAACAGTTGCTGAAGACACGTTTTTAGTGACATGGTTACTAGGCAAACTGTTCTAGTCTGCTGGACTATCCTTAACCATATCCTTGTATTCTATCTTCAATGATAAGAACACAAATTCATGGAAAATGTTTGGTAGAAAATTATGTCTATACTGAACATGTGCACACATTTTTATATCCTACATGATATTGCATAACAATTATATTCTAAAGCATGTTGTATTAAGTATTATATATCTAGAAATGATGTAAGTATACAGGGGGAGGTGTGTAGGTTATATGTAAATAGCATTATAAAAGGCACCAAACCACTTGTCGATTATTATTTTGGGGCTGGGGTCCTTGAAGTAAAGGGTGACTGTGTATATAAATGTACATGTGTAATTACATTGTGTGAACCATGGTGTGTAATGCACTTGGATTTTTTTCATGCGTCACTGCTCTGATGCCTTCCCATCGTATCCTGTTTATCAGAATGCAGTTTTTGCCTTTTGGTGGAGAATTTACAGAAGTATGAGTTGAGGCAAGGTAGATTGTGATAATGCCACTTTTTTTTTAAATCATCAAAGCATATATATTGATTATAGGACATAAAAGTACTGAATCAGGATTATTAGTGGATGCATAGGATACTAACATTTTGCTTGCTCTGCTTTCTTAAGCTACAACAACGCTTTGAATTCGAATATCAGACCAATGTGGATGGTGAGATTATCCTGCATCTCTATGACAAAGGAGGTATTGAACAGACGATCTGTATGCTGGATGGGGTGTTTGCATTCATCTTGCTGGACACTGCCAACAAGAAAGTGTTTCTGGGCAGAGATACCTATGGAGTCAGGCCCTTGTTTAAAGCCATGACAGAAGATGGATTTCTGGCTGTGTGTTCAGAAGCTAAAGGTAATAATGGTGTTTTACTATTCTAGGTTTCTGTTTCTTCCTGAATTATATTGAAAATCCTGTTGGTGTCAATCAAAAATTTTACAAATGATGAGTAGATGGATACTCAGTGTGAAGAGGACTTGAAATCCTGATCACCCCTCTCTTACTTACTTTTTCGCACCTGTGTGTGTGCTCATGCATGCATGTATGCATGTGTACATGTAGAGACGAGAGACTGACATTGAGTGTCTTCTCTTATCACTCTTCACCTTTTTTTGTTTTGTCTCACTATTTAACCCTGACTGTCCTGGAACTCACTATGTAGATCAGGATGACCTAGAACTCACAGAGATCCACCTGCCTCTGCCCCCCCCCCCCCAGTACTGGGATTAAAGGTGTGTACCACTATGCCTGGCTCCATCTTAATTTTTGAGGCAGAGTCTTTGACTGTACTTAGAGCTCACTGATGTCACTGGGCTCCAGACCTCCACATGTCTGCCCTGTCCTGCCTGCCCTTCCTGTGCTGGAGTTAGAGATGCAGACTACTTCTACCAGGTTTTGCATAGGTACTGAGAATCTGAACTCCGGTCCCCATGTTTGCTTGATAGGCTCTTTATTGACTAGGTTTTCTGCAGCCCCTGACTCTTCTGGTCACTAGGAGGTGAGCAAGTTTCTTCTGCATACAGAGTAGTTCTGCCATGGTTTACAGATAGGGCCAAGTGACCATGGGCTTTGTCACTCTGACCCAAATGCTTAAGCTAAAATAAATATTCCCTCTAAAATACTTTATCTTGGGTATTTTTTCTCACAGCAACAGGTACCTTGCTAACACACATAGCATTTTCTGGCAGCAAATTTGGTAAGCATCTTTTGTCTTGACTAGTAGCAAGTTTCCTATAATACATCTTTGCTATTTATTGAATGCTTTACCACTTAGTTTTCAGATTTAATGTTGCTTGGAACAAGGATCTTGATCTGTTAAAGAATTCTTAGCACACTAACTATAGTTTGGGTATTAACAGATGCTTTGTTTGATCTATCAACAAGCAGCACAGGGCATTACTCATCATTTATCTAAAGTCCTGTTAGGGAAATCTGGCAGGAAATCAAAGCAGGATGGACTCCTGCTTCTGATGGCTATCCTCTGGACCCTTAGACCTAATGGCTCTTTGATAGGAAACTAATCTCATCAACAATTTATTCTCTGAAGTTTGGTTGTTTTCTGCATCCTTAACTCTGTCCTTCTCCTGACTGTCTTAATTGCTTTTCCGTTACTGTGATAAGATGTTATGACCAAGGCAAGAGTTCATTTAGGGCTCACACATTCAGAGGGTTAGAGTCATTATGGGGAATGTGGCAGGCAGGCAGGTAGGCAGGTTGTGGCTGAGGGCTTGCATCTTTATGCACAAATATGAGGCAGAGAGAGCTAACCGGGAATGATGTGGCCTTTTGAAACCTCAAAGACAACCTCTAGTGATGTACCTCTAACAAGGCCACACCTCCCAATTCTTCCCATACAGTTCTATCCACTGGGGACCATGTATTCAAACACGAGCCTATAGGGGCCATTCTCTCTTGAACCACCACACAGACTGAATGATACCACTTGGAGGGCTGCATTCCTTTATCAGCTTTTTAAAATATCTCAGCAGAGTTCTCTGCTTATCCCATCAGTGGCCCACATCCTCTACTAGGATGGGCAGTATTTGAGCTCTGCCAGCTAATGAGAACTTCCTTTGGCTTCCAAGTTCTGTATACACAGACTGGGTTAAGATACTCATAATAAATTATAAAAAGTATCTGTGTAGATAGGGTATTAATTTACTTACAGTGAAACATTGGCTTTTTGTGTCCGGTCATGGTGTCATAATGCATCTATATAAGAACTGCTTGAAGAAATTAAGTTATATGGCTTTCTCATACACATTATGTGGCAGCTACTAAGGGAGAGATGCCAGCTTCTGAGTGCCTGATAGTGGCTCATTTTGCTTGGTAAAGGTATGGGGACTATGGGTCTTTTCTTAAAAAATGTCTCAACGATGACAGAAATGCTTGGCAAGATATCATGATGTTAACATTTTGATTTCTCTATTTTCTCAGACTTATATCTCTTCTTGTTTGTTTTCTGGTAGAAAATTGACTTTCCTTTTAAAAAGTTTCATCCTTCGAAAATGTTATAGGCATCTAAAAAAATAGGTTTCCTTGATTTGAAATTTCCGGTAGATGCTGGAGATTTAAATGGAGGTAGCAAGGCCTTTCAGTGGGGGAGGGCATTTTCTGAGAAACTGTTACTGTAACAACTGGACAAACACAGGTTAAAAGGTGAAGTCTGAAATTTTTATCTCACACTATATTCAGAAATGATCTTGAAATGGAAGCAAGAGTCATTTTCTTATTGCATCAAATAACTACCAGTCCATGCAGTTTGTGTTCTGTCTCCATGACACTCTGGGTTTTGCGTAATTACTTCCTCTCCCGCTATTTTGTTTTTCTTTTTTCTTTTTGTATAGTGGACATATATTTATGTTTGTATATTAGAGGATGTTAGCCAACTGTAAAGGCTGCCGGGAAGCTCTCAATGGCATGTGTTACTGTTTTGCTTCTACAGGGCTCGTTTCCTTGAAGCACTCCACCACTCCCTTCTTAAAAGTGGAGCCCTTCCTTCCTGGACACTATGAAGTTTTGGATTTAAAACCAAATGGCAAGGTTGCATCTGTGGAAATGGTGAAATACCATCATTGCAGGGATGAGCCACTGCACGCCCTCTACGACAGCGTAGAGAAACTCTTTCCAGGTGACTGGTGCCCATGCCTATCCCGGAAAGCACACGAGCCATTCACACCTTCTGAATCATTTTGATTCTGAAATCTGTTTGCTCTTTGATTTGGAGGCGGTGGGATCTCCTTGAGTGATGGCCATCACCGTGGTGGAGGGGACTGCATGCCATACCTCAGCAAGCTCAGCTAGCTCGGCTTCTCGGGGCTGTTTCATTTACTTTCTGTGTTGATAGGCTTCGAGTTAGAAACAGTGAAGAGCAATCTTCGTATCCTGTTTGACAATGCTGTCAGGAAGCGTTTGATGACGGACAGGAGGATCGGCTGCCTTTTATCAGGTGAAGTCAATGTAAAGGAACATACCATCTTGCTGGTATTTAAATGAAATGCTGCTGTCCCTGAGCTATGTTATAGATGTGTTTATAGGCTGTATTAGTGTAAGGGCTGGTTGGTACACATTGCTTATAATCTAGTATACTAATTTCTTTTTTTTTAAACCACGTTAGATATAGTTACCATTGTAGGGACCAGTAAAATGTATGTATTTACTTGCCAAAGTTGATTTCAGTTTACAAAACTTGGATATCTTAAGAGGCAAACTCCAATCCAGATGTTTAGCAGGCATGTGATTACCTTTGCCTTGTCTAATAACCGTTGGTCTTATTCTCATGGTGTAGGGGGCCTGGACTCAAGCTTGGTTGCTGCCTCCCTGCTGAAGCAACTCAAGGAGGCTCAAGTACAGTATCCTCTCCAGACATTTGCCATTGGCATGGAAGACAGCCCGGATCTCCTGGCCGCTAGAAAGGTACATTGTAACCTGCCCGTTGTATATTTAGAACTTTAGTCTTGTTATTAGACTCAAAATCAAGTTGACATTGTCCTAATTTGCCTGCTGTTATTGTGCGATAAAGGCCAAAACCAAAAGCAACTTGGGGAGTACAGGACTTGTTTGGTTTACATACTCCCTGCCACCGTCCATTGAGGGAATCTGAGGTGGGGATGTGAGGCAGAAACCTGTAGGCAGGAACTGAATCAGACCATGGAAGAGCACTGTTTGCCCCTCCTGGCTCCGGATTCTTAGCTTTACTTCCCGAACCCTGAGTTCTTGCCTTGGTAATAAAAACCAAATGAACTCTTCCCTCCCCAAGTTGATTTTTTTTGTCACAGTCTTTATCACAGTCATAGAGAACAATCTAGGATAGAAATTGGTACCTGGATTGTGGGCTGTTGCTGTGACAGACAGACCTGAGTGTGCTGTCTGGGAGGATTGTGGAAGGACTCTGGAGCTTTGGGCTGGAGTGTTCAGAGTTCAGTGAGCTAATGTGGAAACTTGGGAGAAAACGCTGAGAGCCGTGTGCATGATGGGGCCTGGTATGTGAAGTTTCAGAGGCAGTTGTGATAAGACCCACAGCACTTAAACAAAACAATAGTGTTGACAATAGTGTTGCTTCTGTTTCTGCTGCTGGCCCTGGTATTTATTTCTAATAGAACTGAAGTGTTAGACTTTTATCTACTGGGTACTTTTGTTTTTTTTTTGAGAAAGAGTTTCTCTGTGTAGCCCTAGCTATTCTGGAACCAGGCTAGCTTCAAAGTCAGAGATCCACCTACCTCTGCCTCTGCTGGGATTAAAGGCCACTACTGCCCAGCTCACTGGGTACTCTTATCCACAGTGTCCCAAAGAATCTTGTCAAAGACTCAGTGATTACCATTTTCTTCTGAGAGTGAAGGTGTGGTCAGTGTTAACACTGCAGGCTTTGAAGTCTACTCAATGATTGAACTGTGCAAGTCTTCACTGTCATATAACAGTATTTGCAGTAGTATGATGAGATTGTATGTGTGTTTGAGTTTGAGGCAGGATCTTATACTTAGTTCAGTCTGGGCTGAAACTCACTTATGATCTAATGGCTGTAAGCTCATAGCAACCATTCATCGTCAGCCTCCCAAGTGGGAACTCCCCATGTTGTGGGATCACGGGCATGAGCCACCACACACAGGTTGCAGTGGGATAGTTCTAAAGTTAAAATAGGTATCATATGAAGTGTATGACGTAGAACTTTGTGTGTAGCTTAAGCACTTTAGTGAATGTGAGCTGTAATTTCATTTTTTATGAAGCGTTGTGGTATTACGAACTGTAAGCAGGGCATACCTTGTACCCACAACTCTCTGCAGGTATTGTTCTAGCTCTGGAAAGACCTAGAGTGACTGATAAAGGTCCAGAGAAGAATCCCAACACATGGGTATATGCTGGAAGACAGACAAAGAAAGTAGGAGACTGTTTATGTAGGACCAACATGCTAGCTATAAAATTAGGCATTTCATCTCAGCAAAAACTATGTTTAAAAGGGGACCATGTTGGACTAGAGAGAAATGGGGTAGGTTAGGTAATGTAGGAGAGATTGGTGCACTGATTGGAACTTGGACTGTCAGGCCCTAGCTTTGATTTGGAAAGAGCTGGTAGATTTGCTTCTTGTGGTTGAGTGGGGATGAAAGCCAGGCAGAGGCATTCAGCAAGCTTTAATTAGCATGTGGTGGTCTGTACTGCCTCTTGCCATGGTGTTCTAGAGAGATCTTCAGTCTTTTGCTTTGTTTCTTTTCACTATGTTAATTCAGAATTCAGAATGCCTTGAGAGGAACTGGCCTGACTCACTTTCAAAAGTAACCCTTTAACAAACATATGAATTTTTCTTCACAATCAGGTGGCAAATTTTATTGGAAGCGAGCATCATGAAGTCCTTTTTAATTCTGAAGAAGGCATTCAGGCCCTGGATGAAGTCATATTTTCCTTGGAAACTTATGACATTACAACAGTTCGAGCATCTGTAGGTAATGGATTTTGTTGTCATGAAAAGAGTTAATACTGACCAAGGAGAAGGTTTAAGATGATTTCAGTTTAAGAAAGATTGTCTAAATATGAATATAAGCAAAATTTCTATACAGTTATTAATGTTATATGTGTTTTTTAGTTTTAATAAATTTTATTTAAATTAGAAACAATCTTATTTTACATAGAAATCCCAGTTCCCTCTCCCTCCATTCTGCCCATGTCCCCCACCGATCCCCCCATTTAATATTATATTTCTAAGACTGTTTAAGAGTGTCCTGAATTTCTTTTCAACTGGAGGAAATGCTTTTAATGAATATAACCATATCTTCTGAACATCGAATTTACAAGGTCACTCTGCCTACAGTCTTAAAGAATGTTTCATAAAAATAAATAACATCTCACATTTACTAAGCACATAGTACATGCTAAGTTCTGTTTCCTACATTTCATATGAACTATTTATGGGTACTTCCATTGTAGCCAATATGTAGACTCAACACCTGTTGGGTGGTTCAGCACCCAAGAGACTGCTGCACATCTGGCATTTACGGCATCACTATAGGATGGATACATATTTGGGCTCCCCTTTCTTCCATTTTCTTTGTTTAAAGTATCTTGGATGATGTAGTTTGGTCACAATACTAAGCACCTTGACTTAGGAATATCTTATTGCTCTTGATGGTCTAAGCTGTGGGAAAATGATGCAGTATATTTGTGTTTTTTGCAGGATTGACAGTCTTTTAATTTTTAAGAAATGAACTTCCTCTGGAACAATTGTGGTGGCCTACATTTTCAGAGGTTCAGTCCATTATCAACATGGTGGGACATAGTGGATTGCAGGCAGCCATGGTCTGAGTCACACTGAGCAAAAAAACTTGAGCAAAAGGAGTCCTCAAAGCTCACCTCCACAGGGACACACTTCCTCCAATAAGCCCACATCTATTTCAATAAGGCCACACCTCCTAATAGTGCCACTCCCTATGAGCTTGTGGGAACCAATTACATTCAAACTACCACAAAAGCCAAACACAGTAAGATGAGATATGCCTGTTTATGTGTATAGGTTTTGTGCAAATACTATCACTTTTTAAGACGTTGAGGTATCTGAAGATTTGGGTAGCTGAAGGGAGGTCTCAGAATCAACCCCAAATGAATATTGAGGGAGAAGAATTTTTTTGTTTGTCTTGATTTTTCTCTAGACAGTTTCTTTATGTAGCCTTGGCTTTCCTAGAACTCACTCTGTAGACCAAGTTAGCCACAAAGTTACTAAGACCCACCTGCCTCTGCCTCCCAAGTGCTGGGTTTAAAAATGAATACCACCACTGCCCATCTGGGAACAATTTTTTATAAAATGGGGAATATAGATCTATACTATAATACATTTTCCTTAAGGAGTTCTTATGTAGATGTATTGTAATACTCCATTACACAGCTTACCCATTGCTAGTTATTATTTACATTATTACTTAAGCAGGTCACGTAAGCGATACTAGTTGTAGTTGGTGAACACATTCTGAGATTAACAGTGGACCACAAGTCAGATAGACCCAAGGTTGTTGAGCCTTTAAAATGCTACTAGCTGAGTAGGCCTCTCTTAAAACTCACTTTGGAGTAAAAAAAAAAAAAAAAAAAAAAAAAAAAAGCCCTTGAGACCTTGAGTATTAACAATGATTTGGCCTTCTGAAACATAGTTAAACAAGCACATTTATAACATGGCTGTGATTGAATTTTCATGGGGTGGAAGCAGAGTTAGGAAGGAAAAAGTCCTAAGAATTGGAGGTGATGGGAGTGTAGAGAGATGTAAAATGGGTACCAAGCAAGCTTGTTTCAATACCATGCAGAAGCTTAATCAAATGTGGAATTTCGAAGTGAGGAGTGACAGTGGAAAAGAGTAAAACAGTTAAAACTAAGTGTTTCCATTAGTTCATTTATCTGTTACTATAATGGATAACCTCAGGTGAACAACTTTTTAACAATGGTTCTTTTCTTTTTAAATTCAGAATTTTGTGGGCTGAAAGTCCAAAAGCGTGGCACTTGGTGGGTGACATCAAGGAGCCACACATGAGGGAGAGGTTTCATAGTGAGGCCAGAGGCCAAGAATAGAGAAGGGTTAGCTGGGCATTGGTGGAACACCCCTTTAATCCCAACACTCGGGAAGCAGAGGCAGGAGGATCTCTGTGAGTTTGAGGCCAGCCTGGTGTACAGAGCCAGGACAGGCTCCAAAACAATAGGGAGACACCCTGTCTCTTTAAAAACAAAAACAAACAAAAGAATAGGGAGGGGTTCTGTTTTAAACAATTAGCTCAGGAAAACTAATTTGGTTTCCTCTGGGAATTGCCTTAATGACTTCAAAGGCAAGATTCTTGAGGACCCAAGTAACCCCAAGCAGGCCTTACCCATCACTTCTCTCCTCACCATGGACCACACTTCCAACATCAGTCCTTGGGAGAACAAATTGCATCCAAATCCCTGCACTACCCAAGCCATTACTTTTCTGTAGTAATGTTAGTATGAAGCCATGGTATTTAGGTATTTGAGTGGTTCAATTTAGCACAATTTTGAAGTAGAATGTCTTGTTTAAGAACATAAGTTTGGAATGTATTTATAAAATATTTCAGTGGTTTCTAGGCTATTTTATTGCCTAAGTAGGGTTGCCTGCATTTAGATTGCTTTTAAGTATATCTGCGATCATATTTTGGAAGCTGCTGATATTAACTCAGGGTCCAACAAGACTTTCCAGCCAGCAGTTGTTTCTGAAAGCCAAGTTAAAGTCTTTCTAGAAGACACACTTACACCAATATTAGTTTCTCTTTCTTTAAGGTATGTATCTAATTTCTAAGTACATTCGGAAGAACACAGACAGTGTGGTGATCTTCTCTGGAGAAGGTTCAGATGAGCTTACACAGGGCTACATATATTTCCACAAGGTGAGCACTCTAGTGAAAAGATTTCCAGGTTGAGTTAAGAAAAGTTGGAATCACTTGATTGTTGTTTTCTATACTGTCTTTATGATGTGTAACATTTGTGTGTGTGTGTGTGTGTGTGTGTGTGTGTGTGTGTGTGTGTGTGTGTCTGTGTGTCTGTCTGAGTTGATGGTATCTGTTTTGGAAAAAAGAAGTCTCAATAGTATCAGATACTTTCCATTCTTAAACACAAGAGTTGCTTTTATATTTATTTATTGTATTTTTGTTTTGTTTTTTGTTGTTTATTTCCTCCCCCCCCCCAGACAGGTGCTCACTATGTAGCTCTGACTATTCTAAAACTCAGTATGATGCCCAGCGGTGGTGGCCTTTAATATCAGCCCAGGCAGGTGGATCTCTGTGAGTTTGAGGCCAAGCTGGTCTACAACAGCTAGTTCCAGAACCATGTAGCTAGGGCTACGCAGAGAAACCCTGTCTTGAAAAATAATTAAAACCAAAACAACAAAACAAATAGCTCACTCTGTAGACCAGGCTGGCTTCAGACTGACTGAGATCCACCTGCCTGTGCTTCTCAAGTTGCTGGGATTAAAGGCTGCACCACCAGGCCCAGCTGCTTCTGCTTATTTACATTTCTATGGAACTGTGACTCTTGCCCTGACATTTATCTTACTTGTTCCTACACTAAGCACTTTGGAGGGCGAATGGGTCTGTCTTCTAAAACATTGGTGGCCTCTGAAGTCATTTACTCCTACCCTTTACCTTGTGACATTTTCTGTCTTCCTCATCTCTCATTTTAAATGTAAAAGGGGAAGATAGGGGCTGCCTGTGTGCCAAAGCAAAGCCACTCACCTTTTGGTCTACTGAATAGGCTCCTTCTCCCGAGAAGGCAGAGGAGGAGAGTGAGAGGCTGCTGAAGGAACTCTACCTGTTTGATGTTCTCCGTGCCGACCGCACTACTGCTGCCCATGGGTAACTTTACACTCAGTTGTAAAGAAGAAAGGGAAAGGGGAAAAATTCAATGAGATCAGTTGCTTACATTTCCGTTTCTTTGCAGTTGACTGCAAGGAATGACTTTTAACTAAATTGGGCTACGGGCCTGGATACTATCATTGAAGTAGTGAGAGATGACCTTATCGTTGGGGTGGGAGACAGCATCTTCTGAGCTATGTCAGGCAGGTTTTGTGTCATCAAATCACAATAGTAATGTGCTATATGTGACCTAGAGGGAAGGCAACAGCAGCATTTCTAAGCATTTTAGAATGTCTTGAGGGGGCGGGATGAAGATGCATGAGGTTAGATATGATTGTATACTAAAAATGTTTCTTTGGTTTCCTTGGCTAGAGCTTTCACGTTTAACTGAGCTTGTTGAAGAATAGAAGGCCCTTATTGTGCATGATAACACCTGTCATTCAGTAACTTAGTTTCTTCTACTGACTTGTATTAGCTGAATGAGCTGCAGTCGTAGGTTTTGCCTGTCTGCATATCCTACCAGAGTCATTAGGACTGTGTACACATGATGTGCATTTGCCTCACGGTTTCTGACTCTTCTGCTCTTAGAGAAGCAGTTAACGTTTCATAGACACAGAAGGAAAGATAGTTTCAAATTGGAAGCTTTCAAATGCTGGTTTGATTTTGAGTATAGACTTCAGTATGTATCCAGGCATGCAGAGTGGCCATTAGGAGGCTGAAACGTGACTCTGTAATCTCCGTGGCTCAGTCTGGTGCAGCTGTTGGGACACACGACAACTGCTGACCAGCCTTCTGGTTGAGATTGTCTTCTGTTTTCTCCAAGTCTTGAACTAAGAGTCCCGTTTCTGGATCATCGGTTTTCCTCCTATTACTTGTCCCTGCCACCAGAAATGAGGATTCCAAAAGTAGGTAAATCACCCTGGATAAAAATGCCAAATGCCATTGGCTCTGCTGATGACCCCACTGATCCTTCTTTTGTGTTCATGTCAGAATGGGATAGAAAAACATCTCCTGCGAGAGACGTTTGAGGACTCCAACCTGCTACCCAAAGAGATTCTCTGGAGACCAAAAGAAGCCTTCAGTGATGGGATCACCTCAGTTAAGAACTCCTGGTTCAAGATTCTACAGGATTATGTTGAACATCAGGTCAGCCTTTCAAGATATTTTCTGGAACAATATAGTTTAGCAGAGACCTGGGATCTCTGTTTTGTATTTAGTTTGAATAACTGTGTCTATAGGAGAGTTACAGTTCCTACAAAGAGCACCTCTTTCATAAGTATTACATAAAAATTGAGGAATATGAAGTATCAATGATCAAAAGAAGAAGACGTAGAGGGGGCACTTAGTAATCATCACTGACCCTTTTACATGTGTCTGGGTACCCTGGGTACAAATAAATCACACATTGAGCACCCAAATATGAAATATGCATGAGAATTTTAAAGATATTACTGCCTCTGTTTACTATAGCTTGTTTTTTCTAAATAATGAGCAACTTAAAGGGTCTTATTAATTTATAGTATGCCTTAACTTTAGTTTGGTCTGTATCAGAGCAAATCCAAATGAAAATGTAATGTTCTTAATTTATCTTATAGGTTGATGATGCAATGATGGCAACGGCAGCCCAGAAGTTTCCCTTCAATACTCCCAAAACTAAAGAAGGCTATTACTACCGCCAGATCTTTGAACGCCATTACCCAGGCCGGGCTGATTGGCTGACTCATTATTGGATGCCCAAGTGGATCAATGCCACCGACCCTTCTGCCCGCACTCTCACCCATTATAAGTCAGCTGCCAAAGCTTAAATGCTTTCTGAACTCTAGTGTAAGTGTTTCTTCTCACACTGAAGGTAGAGACACCAAGACAAACACAGAAATAATGCAAATCAACCATCAACCGCTCAGGCTTACACAGGCATGGAAAAAAAAATAAAAATATTCCATCTAAAATGAATTCTGGTGGTGGATGCAGACTCATTAGCGGCAACTACAGACAGAGTGACATTTACTATATTCCCACCATGTGGATGACAATGAGCTAAGCTGAAAGGGAGAGCATATGATCTTCGCATCTCAGTCCTGCCTACGTTCGCAACAGCTGGCTAGATAGACAGAGATGTGAGTCCTTTGTCGGAATTCATGACAGCTCTGCATTATAGGATAAGGATTCAGTTTTTGCTTTCTTATGTTGTGTTAATATCCCCTTGTAGAGTTGGGAATAAACTTCTCAAACACAGAGTCAGATGCTACATTAGGCTTTTGTGGGTCTCTATGGAACTGTGGATTGACACTGACACACAACACTGGGTGTTATAAGACTACTTCACACAGCTGGTGGTAGGCCAGGTCTGGACCCTGGGTCGTTGTTTATTGATGCTTCTTCCGGGGGAATTGTCCAAACTATACATTACTCACAAATGTGTTTGGGGAAGTAGGAAATAGCACTTAAAAACAGAAGCTACTCATTTGAACACTTCCTGAATGCTTCAGGACAACACGGTGAGATACATAAGACAAATGAATTTAGCTGTTCAGAATGTTTGAAAAGGGAACTGATGGGAGATATCATTCTGTATATGTTTCTCATACTGGGTTCTATCCTCTCTCCTAATTCATGAACCTTATCCCTAGTGGGAACAGTTTGTAAAAGAATTCCTGATGGTGTCAGATATTTTGATTCATGATTCTCTGAGCACCAGGGAAGACTGCAGCAGGGTTAGTTCAAGGCCAGCCTGTGCAACATGGTAAGGATATGTCAAATGAAGGACTGCTTGATGGGAAAAGCTATTGAGGCCAGCTATGGGCCCTAACTTATCCTGTATAAATGTGTCGATGAAACTGAAGATGAAGCCTTACTGTAGGGTAACCTAATAAGCATTAGGTTGTCTTGCATTTATAGATATTTAAGTATTTAAACTTAGCTTGATTTGGCACTATACCTATTTTCTGCTAAAGTTTGCCCAGCCCAGCTACATGGCATTGCAAATACTTTGGATTGGGATCTGTGACTTTGATTGACACAATGCACATGCCAAGATCAAAGTGTGGCATGAAGCACACTGCCAGATCTGAGGGTGTGGGATCGGCTTTAGATTTTAACTTTAGTGACTAAGAAGTGTCCTGTTCAGATCCCATTGAGAACTTTGACACACATGGGGATAGTTAAGCCAACTTCACAGCATCAAACTTGTATGTGTGTGAGAGAGCCTTTTATCCCTTTGCCAAATGCCTAAGAAAAGTGTACTTCAGTTCATAGTTTGAGAGCTTATGGTTCATGATTGGCTTGTTATGGTCGTTGGCTACATCATTTCTTTGCCAGCGTTGAGGCAGAAAATCAGGGCAGAACACACTGGAACACATGTTCAACTCATGGAGGTGGAAAAGCAAGCAGAAGGGTTTTAAGGACAGCCCCTGAGGACATCTTAAGTGACCCACCCCAGGCCTCACCTTCAAAAGTTCCTACCATCTCTCAGTAATTGCCATTCAATTAATGAACCAATGAACTGATGTATTCATTGAATTAGTCTGAACCTTTATGCTCCAGTCATTTGACAATGATTGCTTGCACTAATTGGAGACTGAACCTTTGACCCATAAGTCTGAGGGGCAGACATCATATCTAAACCATAACAAACAAGGTTGCCCATAATGGCTACAGATAATTTTCAAATTATACATATTCATGTGGTTAATTTTTTCTTTTGCACCTTGAAAGGAAGGTTTGAAAAAAGAACCACTAGGTTTGTGAGTATGTGTGTAATCCACCAGCTTACATACTACACACACTCAGTTTTCTAGATCATCCCGATGGATCCCATTCATACAGGCCTGCTAATAAGCAGTCAGTCTGTTCAGGCACCTTTATCACTAAGGATTCCCAGCTGACACCTTGCCTCTTCAGCCTCTTGGGCACCTCTCCACAACCTACTCAGCAGAACTTTCCTTTGACTTTGTATCTGCTCTAAGAAAGGGTACCATGTACTACATGTACTACATTTTCAAGTTTTATTTTTAAAAGTGAGAGTAAAGCTCCAAGTTCTCCCTTAGCCTTTAAACAATGGTCATCATGTTCTTGCAGTTCTTTCACTGAAAAGGTACCATTGTACATGTGCAGGAGGATTTCCAAAGCTCCTAGTACAGGGGTAATATAAAGAGCTAAACCTGAGCCTGATAGGCTAGCCCCACCCCATTTTTTAAAGAAGTTTGTGACATTCTGGCTGTGGCCATGGTGTCAGCATGCTACACAATACCTTTTTGTTGGTTTTAGTTTGGTCTGGAGCCTTGGAGAAGGCCAATATGGTTCAGAATCTTTCTGTAGCAGTGTTCCTGGTCTAGCTCCCCCACATCTTTCTACTTTGTGAAATGTCTGCATCCTGAGCAAGGTAGGGGTTTATATTCATGCTGGCTAGCAGGATGTAGTAGAAGTCAAGTGATGTTGGGAGACTTGTGATTTGGTGTCACTTGTTTTTAATGTGGAAGGAAGACCCAGACACAGAGACGGGTCATTTGTAAGAGTGGACATCTCCAGTGACCACTTATTCAACATTGAACAATTACAACGATGCTTGTGAGTGAGCTTCTGGAAGATTCCAGCTGCTAGTCTGGTATTTCCATCTGTGGCCTTGGTGTGGTGCCAGAGATTAGCCAGTCTGGGACTCTGGCCATGTTCCTCATTCATAGACCCCAGAGTACAATGGGTTATCAGCAAAGTTAAGATGGGGGAGATAGTAGCTCTGACTTACCACAGTAACTGAAAACCTTAAATACTTCTGCCTTTGTTTACATAGGTTAGGGAAGCTGCCAGAGTGAACAATAGTCTAACTAGTAAGGAATTTACCCTGGGTAGCCGGGCTCTTTGCTCCCAGTGTCTTGGCAGTCCTCCCTCTCGATTACTGTATTGGGAAGCTAAAGGAAAAAGGTTCCTCTGTGGGGACAAGAACGAGGAAAACAGGGTATACCCACATATTCCTATAACTGCTGAGAAACCCATCCTGCTGTGGTGCATCACACTAGAGTTAGTTTTCATTAAAATGGTGTACCCATTTTGCCTAGTGGAGGGATTTGTTCGTTGTTGAGGGTTTTCTAACCACTCTGGTCCAGGAAGACACATGGGTTGAAACATGCATCAATCACTCATTATTTTCCAAATCAGTCATGCGGCAGCACTTTTCGTGTGTGTGTGTGTGTGTGTGTGTGTGTGTGCATGCGTGCGCGCGAGCGCACGCAAATTGGGAGCATCAAAAGGAAAATGAAGTATTTTGGGACCCCCCACCCCAAATCCATTAACTCACCATCTGGTCACCAAATAGTTCTCACCTTTGAATACCTACACTCACCCTCAAGAGGATTTCATACTGTTCTATGGCTTGCAACCAAGATGTTGGGGATTCTGATTGAGTGTGTCAGGCTGAGAAGCAGGTGGACTAATAGCCCCCCTTTCACCTGTCTGCTTTATAACAAAGAAGCAATAGCACAATCGCAGCAGCAACAACAAAACATATGCCACAGTATTGTGGGACATTTGTACACTGTGAAGACACGCTGACTTGGCAGGCTTAATAAAAAGCTGAACAGCCAATAGCTAGGCAGGAGGTATAGGCGGAACTTCTGGGCAGAGAGAGGAAGTAGGAGGTGATGACTGAGATGCCATGGAGGCATGGAAACAGTCGAACACACAACATGGGAGAGGTAAAAGGCACGTGGTAGAACACAGATTAATAAAAATATGGGACAAGCCTAAGCTAAGGTCGAGTTTTCATAATTAGTCTCCGTCTCATTATTTGTGAGCTGGTGGCCCAAAGTCAAGTCTGATTACACTGCAATGAGCGAGTGGCCAGGAAGCATGGAGCCTTCCCTGCTTAACTTCCTGCTTGAAGAACCCCATCTCTAGCAAAGAGTGGTCCTCCGGTGGCTGTTAGCAGCAAGGCATCCTGGTAGAAGGAAACAGGTAGAGGCTAGGGCAGCACCTGCCCACAGGTGAGAAATGAGACCATGGTGATTTCTGATAGAAAACCCTATTGGGCTCATGCATTATAATGTTGGTTCCCTAGAATAAGGTTTAGGAGTTATAGGTCCTCCTGTGAGTAAGGACTGCCCTGGAAACTAGTCTTATCAATGTACCTGTGTTCTGTCAAGTTCTTCGACAGCTTATGAATAAGGAAAGTAATGCACAATGGGAATTATGCCACATGGCCAGTGTCACAGAGCTGATAGCAAATGGGGAAAATAGTTGATTGCAGGTTACAGGAGTTTAGAAACTTCCTGAACCTTGTGACATTGCAAAGATTAGAAATATAAACACAGGAAAATACTATTCCAATTATATTGTAATGGGAATATTATTTCATTTTATGAATAGTAAATTATTTAGCAAGTGTACTGATTTAAACACAAGGTTATTTTAGTTTTCCAGTGGATAATGAACACATGTACATTTGCTGTGTAAATATTGCATGAGGTAGGTATTCTGAGTTCTGGCTTAATTCCAGTTGTGTCTAGCTGGTAAAAGCACTAGGGAATAAATTACTATGGAATTTGAAATAATTCAAAGAAAAGCTGTGGGAAGAAAAGCCATATCTACACATTGACAGAATATTTAAAAAGTAACATAAAAAAGTGTTTCATTTCTGAAGATGAACGATGTAACACAAAGAGCCACAAGATGGCAGCTCTGATGTATTTCTCTTTTCAGGCAAATGCTTTAAATTTCCCAAAGGCACTGGCGATACAGACCATCATAAAGAAACTTGTATGTTGCCTTGAAGAGATAGCATGTTCATTTCACAAAATAAATCACAACACAGAAGG